TATATATATATATATATATATATATATATATATATATATATATATATATATATATATATATAGTTGAAGTCAGCAACCCCCTTGCTTTTTTTAGCTATTTCCCAAATGATGTTTAACAGAGCAAGGAAATTTTCACAGTATGTCTGATAATATTTTTTCTTTAGCAGAAATTCTTATTTGTTTTATTTTGGCTTGAACAAAAGCAACTTTTAATTTTTTAAAAGCCATTTTAAGGTCAAAATTATTAGCACCTTTAAGCTATATATTTTTTCGATAAACTAAAGAACAAAACATCGTTATACAAAACCTTGCACAATTACTCTAACCTGCCTAGTTAACTTAATTTACCTAGTTAAGCCTTTAAATGTCACTTAAGCTGTACAGAAGTTTCTTGAAAAATATCGACTCAAATCTTATTTACTGTCATCATGCCAAAGATAAAATAAATCAGTTATTAGAAATTAGTTATTCAAACTATTATGACAAATATTGTAGCTGTTGGACAACATACATTTGAGACATACATTTTTAGGCGAGAATGATGTTTAGATTGCAACTATGCAGTGTATTTATAAGGATAGTGCCTTTTTGAAATATTTATAATTTTAGAGATTCAGCGCGTTGGTGGCCATGAGCCTGTCATACTGAGCAGAGCAAAGACGTTTGACCTTCCGTTACAGGATGCCGACAAAGACCGCAAATTAAGCCCTTAGGGGAGAAAAACTCAGTAAATTTCAAACTACAGCTGATCAAATCATTATAAAAGAGGTAAGTGACATTTGAGTCAATCTCTTTTTTATAAGTTGATGTAATCTGGTAGTGTTTGGCCTTGCATTGTTTTTTCCAGGGTTAATTATTGTGATCTCCCGATTGCAGCAGAAAAATACTGGGAAATCTTGGTAGACTGATGACTTTTCAAGCCGTTCAGCCTTATAATCTTAAAATGTGAGCAAAATCACCTGTTTTGTCATTACTTTAGATTTTACACTAGAGAAACATTTAAACACTAGCTTTAAAGTGACGTTGGTAAAATAGCACTGGCTGTTCTGACGGTCAGCTGCAGATGCAAATGAATGGCGGAAGAAAGTAGTTCCTCTTACAAAAAGGTTTTTTAGACTCTCTGTGCTTGATTTTCTTTTTTATACACACGATTATGCTGTCAAACTGTTGTACAATTGCAATATCACACTCGTAGCAGTGTAATGTGGCTGTTTATTGTCACTGGTGGGACACCAAGGCACTCGGTCTAGCAGCCTCAAGCCAACACACACCTCCCACCAGTGCGGATATACAGCCAAATCACACTGCTACTCATGTGATATTGCTCATATGTGTGTGTGTGTGTGTGTGTGTGTGTGTGTGTGTGTGTCATATATATATATATATATATTAGCAATAACAGCTAATCCAAATAATAAATAAAGCTAATGGATAAATAATAAACAAACAATTAAATAAACTGAAAACAGTGAAATTTATAAATAATAAAAAAAAACACTACTATGTAAGACGGACATGTCTTTGTCAGAATCGGTTCTAAGAACAAAAGTTTACTCTGGCTCGATATAAAACTCTTGGCTCCACAAGACAAGTAAATGGTATGAGGGCATTGTGGCCTTTTATCTGCATCTCCTCGCACCACTCATGAGTATTGATCGCTCCACAAAGCATTAACTTCAGCTGAATTCCCAGACTCACAGTATTCGATTCCTCTCAGCAGGTCCTGGAAGTAGAAGCGGGCCTGGTCCTCATCCAGAGGCTTATCAGTAGGAACCTCCATCACGGCTCTACAAACACAAACACACACAGACACGCAGCCAGTGAGCCACAGCTTCTCTGTCAGAGTGACACTGCAGTCAGGAATAAGATGTCACTCACCCTCGCTTGACAAGCTCAAACACTGCGAAAACACACAGGAAACAGAGTCAGGCTGTCGTGCATCAGCTTCTCCATTTTCACATACATTTAGCATGGAAAAAAAAAGTGTGTGGAAGTGTGTGGCATCTGCCGAGAGGATGAGTGTGTGGCCAGACTTACCCATGTACAGATGGTCCTCGCTTGGATCATCCAACACCTGCGGGAAAAAGCAAAACAAAAAAAAATGGCATACTGTTTAGATGAGGGAATGAAAACACACACACATTTTGCCCATAGCCCTTGAATACATGCACAAATGCACACTTCACTTCATAAACTACTTTTGTACTCTGTAGTTATTATTTTTATATAACAGGACATTCGTAGGTACCATTTCACTACAAGCTGTTTAAATATGATGACGTGACAGTTTTAATTTAGATTTCAATAGAATGTATAAAAATAGAGGAAATGAACTGTGGTTATTTCAGTCAAGGTTAATAATGGTGGTCATGTATAATTGTACCTACACAGTTTTTTCTGTTTTCTATTTATGGTAAGGATTGCAATGCTTTATAGCATCACAGTATATAGCAGTGCACTGCAAATAAAGATTTATATAAAAATATAAACATTTTATACATCCTAAACTTTTTGTTAGATTTTTTTATTTATATTTTTGCAGTAAACAAAATTCCACAAACTGTATTATATTTAATAATATTAATAATAATAATAATAATTATTATTATTATTATTATTATTATTATTATTATTATTATTATTTTATTATTATAGTAATAATGGTAGTTTTTATAATTATTTTGTTAATAATAATAATCCATATTTTACTACTAATAATAATAATTTTATGTGAATTTATTCAAACTTATCATACATTCCACATCCACGTCTGAATAATGTAACTTATGTGTGACAATAATAATTGTGTGACAATAATAATAACAATAATAATGATTATAGTTTTTATAATAATAATAATTTTATTAACAATAATATATTCAATTATAATTATAATACTAAATGTTTTGTTAATATTATTATTATTATTATTAATAATAATAATAATAATAATAATAATAATAATAATAATAATAATAATAATAATAATAATAATAATAGTGATAATAATAATCATAATCATAATCATATTTTGTCAATAACAATAATAATATTACATTTCAATTATAATAATTAATGTAATAGTAATAATTTTGTTAATATTAATAACAATATTCAATTATAACAATATAAATAATCATCATAATTTTGTTAATAATAAATATCATAATTTTGTTAATAACAACAATAATAATCATCATAATAAATAAAAATGATAATTGTATTTTTTATAATAATAATTATCATAATAATGATAAAAGTTTTTTTTATTAAAAGTTTTTTATAATAAAATTGTATTTTATTATTAATAATTATAATAACAATTATAACTTTAATAATAATAATTTTGATAACAATAATATATTTTAATAATAAAAACTTTAATAACAATTTGAATAATTTGAATAATAATTTTGTTAATAAATGATACAATAATAGTAAATAAATAACTTATAATCATGTTATGTGAATTAATTCAAACTTATAATACATTCCACATCCACATCTGAATAATGTCACTTTAATAACAATAATAATTTTGTTAATAAAAATAACAATAATAATAATAATAATAATAATAGCTTTTATAATTATAATTTTATTAACAACAATATATTCAATTATAATTATATTATCCTAATAAATAATAAATCCTGATTAATTTATAATAATATAATATCTTTAATAATAATAATAATTAGTTAAAAACAACAACAACAACGATTATAGTTTTTATAATAATAATTTTAATAACAATAATATATCTAATTATAATTGTAATAATTGTTAATAATAACAATAATAAAAAAATTATAATCATAATTTTAGTTACAATAATATTGATAATAATAATCTATTTAATAATAATAATAATAGTTAATCTAATAATAGTAATTTTGTTAATAATAATATTAATAATAATAATCATCATTATAATTATTTTGTTAATATTAGTACAATAATTTTAAATAAATAAATAATAATTTTATGTGAATTTATTCAAACTTATACTACAATCCACATATGATTAATTTATAATTGAACTGAAAATGTGTCGCTAACAACAATAATAATAATATTGATTATAGTTTTTACAGTAATAGTAATTTTAATAACATACATACATACATACATACATATATATATATATATATATATATATATATATATATATATATATATATATATATATATATATATATATATATATATATATATATATATATATATATATATATATATATATATATATATATATATATATATATATATATATATATGTATGTGGATGAGATATAGAGAGTGTGTATATATATATATATATATATATATATATATATATATATATATATATATATATATATATATATATATATATATATATATATATATATATATATATATATATATATATATATATATATATATATATATATATATATATATATATATATATATATATATATATATATATATATATATATATATATATATATATATATATATATATATATATATATATATATATATATATATATATATATATATATATATATATATATATATATATATATATATATATATATATATATATATATATATATATATGTATGTATGTATGTATGTATGTTATTAAAATTACTATTACTGTAAAAACTATAATCAATATTATTATTATTGTTGTTAGCGACACATTTTCAGTTCAATTATAAATTAATCATATGTGGATTGTAGTATAAGTTTGAATAAATTCACATAAAATTATTATTTATTTATTTAAAATTATTGTACTAATATTAACAAAATAATTATAATGATGATTATTATTATTAATA